CTGGGGGCTGTATGTGTACAGTGGCAATTTAAAAAAAAACCAAACAACTCCCCCAAAATGTTAGGAATCATTAGGAAAGGGATAGATAATAAGACAGAAAATATCATAATGCCACTATACAAAGTCATGGCACACCCATACTTTGGATACTGCATGAAGGTCTGGTTACCCAATCTCAAAAAAGATATATTAAAATTAGAAAACGGTAGGAACAGCTTCCGCATGAGGAGAGATTAAAAAGACTGGGACTGTTTAGCTTAGAAAAGAGATAACTGAGGTGGGATTTAATAGAGGTTCTAAAATCATGAATGGTGTGGAGAAAGTGAACAGGAAAGTGTTATTTACCCATTCACATAACAGCAGAACCAAGGGTCACCTAATGAAATTAATAGGCAGCAGGTTTAAAACAAACATAAGGACGTAAAATTGTAAAGGCCAAAAGTATAAGTGGATTAAAAAATGAATTAGATAAGCTCACGGAGGATAGATCCATTGATGGCTATTATCCAAGATGGTCAGGGACGCAACCCCATGCTTCACATGTCCCTAAACCTTTGAATGCCAGAAGCTTGTACTGGGTGACAGAGGATGGATCACTTAATGATTGCCTTGTTCTGTTCATTCCCTCTGAAGCATCTGACATTAGTCACTGTTGGAAGACAGGATACTGGGCTAGATGGACCACTGATCTCACCAAATATGGACATTCTTAGGTTCTTATACCTATGCACTGTCTCTCTTCACCTTATAGAGGTCATTCTGCTGTCACTACACTTTCTTCAGACATCTTTTCCCTTCTCCAATGGTTTATTTATTCATCAGGCTTCAGGTGAACTTTCTGATTCAACTGTTTATCCCTTTTCCTTTTTAAAGAGACACTGTGACCCAAGGACCTCTTGGTGCCAGCTGGCAGGGGGCAAGAGGGTACATAGGGTTTTACAGGAATCCCCTGCGTAATAGTTCACTGAAGGGTAGCATGTGAAGTATCTACTGAGAGCAAGGAGCCCACTGGTCATCACAATTGTTGTGAAATATATGTACAGATAATATTTAAGGGCTTCTTTATCTATACTGAAAATTATATTCTTAAGGTCTTGGAGTTAAGGCAGGTCACCAACAGATGACATATCTCAGAAATGTTCTTTCAAGGCAGGAGGTAACAGACACCTATCTCCCTGTCTGTCCATTTGTGTATTGTATATTGTATGCCACATACTTAGCCCAATTCAAATTGAGAGATTGCAAAATATACAAGAGAGGAAATCTACAGGAAGAAATAAATAGCAAAGGGAGGTCCTGTTTATGAAGAAAGACAAAGGATTGCTCTGGAGTGTAAAGAAACTCACCGAGTCCTTTGCCTAGGAAGCAAACTGACACATGTGCTTGTCTGATGAAAGAAGGGTCACAGCCAAACTGTCTGCAAAAATGCAGCAGGAATTTTGGGTGAGCAATATTGTAGTAGACAGTAAAGAATCCTATTAATTAAGTCTAAGCTCTAGAAGACATGCAATGGTTTTATTTTATATGTAACCATTTGTTTCCAATACTTCTACATGAATCTCTGTGCTTTGATAATAAACTGATACTTGATTTCACTGTAAACATGTCTAAGTGCTGTGTGCTGAGAGGAGCAGTGATCTGAGGCGGTACGGGTAAGCTGAAGTGTAACTGTTTCTTTGGAAGCAGTGGATTGGTGAATGCGTGAGTGTCCAGTGGACATGAGGCTGGACACTCCAGGGAGACACTTGGAGGGCTCGGGGGTTGGAGTGTGCCTGTCACTAACCTGTAGAGTGATAGTGGGGCCTGTGAGGCGTGGCGACTGCTGGTATTGCCCGTGGCCAGTGGGTTTGGGAGGCAGAGACAAGGCTTCCTCATGTTAAAGGCAGGTGGTGGCGAGGTGCCTCCCAATGCTGGGTACCCCCGGGAAGCATCACAGGCACCATTCCAAATGTTCTTTGTGTTGTTTATATAGCAGTGGGGGGGGGAATCATTCCTTGTGCACCATGTTACAAAGTGACTGTAAAAATAGCACATTGGTGCTGTAAACAGCTGCTCCCTATGTGCCTTCGAAGTCGTATGTGCTGAGTTCACACTTCCCTTCCTCTCAGCACTGCAAAGCTGTACAAGAGCAAGCTGTTCTTCATTATATATATACATACTTAGTAGAACTGCTGGATAAGTTCTGATTTCAGGCTCTTTATAGCTAGTAAAGATGTACAAAGTAGACACATTTTCAGGATCAACTAGGACTGGTAGCAGTTGGCGACATTTTATATTGTGCTAAAAACAATGAATCAGAAGTTGTGAAAGAGGAACAAATGTGGAGTATAAGGATGTCATAGTTACAAGGTCACTTTCTTGACTGGCACTTTAATAGCTGGACTGGGAAAACAGAAGTTAAGCCGGGGTTCCAAAAGAGAAGGAAGATAGAAAAGAATATAGGCTAGGTTTACTCCTGAGGACATTCTGCACCAAAAAATTAAAAATTCTGTGCCCAATATTTTAAAAGTATACAAATATTATTTGTCAAATAAACATGGAGGCTTCAGCATGGCACTGGGGAGCACAGGCCACTGGCTTCACAGAGTTGGGAGATCACTGTGGAGCTCCCCATCACCCCAGGACATGGACTCAGTGGTAAGGCTGCACCCAACTCGGACATAGTGCAAGTATTGGGCCTGCCCCATAAACACCCCAAGGCCCTGCCCCACCGTGCCAGGTGCACCAGGTGTGGGCAGGCAGGCTCAGCAAGGCAGAATCCAAGTGGAGGGGCCTGGTGTGGGTTGAGAGGGTTCTGTGTGGGGCAATCTGGATGCGGCTGGCTCAATGTGGGATCTGCGTGCGGGTGGGATTTGGATGCACTGGGGCTTGATGGAAGGTTCTGGGTGCAACGGTAATCGGACTCTGTAGGGGGGGTCCAGGTGACAGTGGTTGGGGCTCAGCGGGGAGGGGTCTGGGTGTGGGGGCATAGAGCTCAGAAGGGGGGTCCAGGTGTAGGGGGATCAGTCTGGGGGTCCAAATGCTGGGGGAGTGGGGCTCAGTGGGGTGGGGATCCAGGTGTGGGTGGCTCATTGGGGTGATGGGGAGGTGAGGCTCAACTGGAGGGTCTGGGTATGGGGGGGTCTGGATGCACAGGGGTTGGGCAGATGGGGGAGCAGCTCCCTTTACAGTGATTCCTCCCCTTGCAGCTGACAAGCGATGGGTACAGGAAGTGCAGGGGGGAGGGGAGTTTGCAGAGCTTCCTATAGCTGGGGGAGAAATCCGGGGTTGGGTCTGACATGGCCCTGGATGCCGTGAAGGGGAAGAGGAAGTCCTGTCCTCCCCAGCCCAGCAGGATAGGAGCAACCAGCTGGGTCTTCCCCAGTCCCGCCCCCTGCCCCACAATGATTTACCTCTCTGCCAGCTACCCAAAATATACTGCTGGGGGAGGGTCGCATGACCACTCTTGTGGCTTCCCTTTGCATCCCCATCAGAAAGTTATTTTTCTGCAAGGAAGCAAAGAAATCTAGGGGGGACATAAATTCTGTGCATGCACAGTGGTGCAGAATTTCCCCAGGAGTATAGGTTATAGAATTGTATACAAGGAAAATTAATAAGCGTCAAAGAACAGTTATGAGACAAGGGTTTACAAAAAACCTACACACAAAAAGGAAGAGTATTTTAAAACTCTCTTTTGTTGTTCATTGTCTGTCCTTTATATGTTACCTACTTAGGGTCCTATCCTACAAACCATCCCATATTCCTTCAGTTACACTTATTATTAGGTGTCATGATTAGCGTATTCAGGACTGGGCCTTACAAACGCAAGCTCACTATGGCAGGGACCTCTTTTTCTCTCTGACGGGGAGACTCAAAGCCCCAGTGATTTCTAGAGCCATGCCTCCTCATTATAAAATTTATATTATCGCATCAGGGACCAGAAACAAACCAATCTTTCTTAAGTGACTCATCACCCAGCCCAAATAGATATTGTGAAAAGTTGTAGCCGATAGTTTGAGAATAACCATAGGCTACAATTTGTTAGTGCAAAGGATTGATTCAACAATTACAAATAACAAACAGATGTTGAGAAAAGATCACAATTTATGAATCAAAAAAGGAGCTGCATTTGCAAAATAGAATATTAATTCCAAATTGTTTTGTGCAACTTTTTACAAGAAGAACTATCTGTAGCTTAATTTACTGTTGCTGCTGTTGAAATAAGAGTCTATACATTTTCTCACTTTTTTGCACAGGTGCCACCAATACTGCTGGATAAGCAGTTCTCAGAATTCACACCAGACATTACACCCATTATTTTGGCTGCCCATACGAACAATTATGAGATCATAAAACTTCTTGTACAGAAGGGGGTTTCTGTACCTAGACCACATGAAGTCCGCTGCAACTGTGTTGAATGCGTCTCAAGCTCAGATGTGGACAGCCTTCGCCATTCTCGATCCAGACTCAACATTTACAAGGCTCTGGCAAGTCCATCTTTGATTGCGTTGTCCAGTGAGGATCCTTTCCTTACAGCATTTCAACTCAGTTGGGAGCTTCAGGAACTGAGTAAGGTAGAAAATGAGTTTAAGTCGGAATATGAAGAGCTGTCGCGTCAATGCAAGCAATTTGCAAAAGACCTCCTGGATCAGACACGGAGTTCCAGGGAATTGGAAATTATTCTCAATTACAGAGATGACAATAGCTTGATAGAAGAACAGAATGGTAATGATCTTGCACGATTGAAGCTGGCAATTAAGTACCGACAAAAAGAGGTAAGTGTGCTGGAGAATATTTAGGCATATTTAGTAGCAATAATGTGATAGATAATTGCCTGGAATACAGCCCTTTAAGTGAGACAACTTCAGATTGCTGCTTATTTTTTTGTTCTACAGGGGCCTCTTTTTATTATTGGAAGAACATGAGAGGTTGTTACAGTTTATTCAAACTGGAATTTGAAATATTCTATCATATCACAGATCCTGGGGGACTATCTGTTTTGCACCTGAGCATACGTTATCACTAGCACAGAATAATATTAAGCAAGTCTTTGGTAACAGAGTAAGAACTGCAAAGAGTACGTCTCAAAACTGATTAATTAACTGTGTCTGGCTGGTAAAGTGGGCATGTCACATGTTTACATGCTAGTTAAATTACATGACTGTTGTTACAGAATGGTTTTCTCCAGGAAGGAGTTCATTTTTCTAAATAGATGTAGGCTTGGTAAGTCATTATTATCAATAGGTAAATCCTAAAAGTTTGATATTCATTTTTGGTTTGAATAAGCATCCAAAAGTAGATACTATTCTAAACATTTTCTGAGTATGCCAAACTGGACTGGAAATTTAATGAGAATCTGAAATCCCCTGTGTGCCTTTTAAAATTTGTAAGGTTCTTATATGCTGTGGTACAGAATAAGAAACTAGATAGAAAGATCAGTTTTTCATGAGAGTTCCAAAACTTGTGCATCTGATCCTAGCCAGAAATTACTATGTCATTTGAGAGTTTTGCTTTCAACAGCAGCTCCAATGCAGAAGTGTAAAGTCAAGCAGAAAAGTATATCAGAACATTTCAAACCTTAGTAGTACTGCTACTACTAATAATAATTAAAAATGGTTCTATTCAGGTTTTATAAATGGGCAAAGGTTCAAAGTGTCGTTACTTTTAATTGAGCCTATTCACCCATTGCTATTAAGTCCCTGATCCTGCAAACAATAACCTATATGCTTTACATTAAGCACATAGGTAGAGTTTGCAGAATCTGGTTTAAGCTAACATTTATCAACACACAGAAGTCAACATGATCTACTAATATATATATATACATATATTTGACTTGGAAAAGGCCTATGTTGCTCACTTATTTCATATTTAAATGTCATGGTATGCCATGGTTAAGCCCACTCCATATGATCTAATTCTGGAGAAGGACCTACAGGTGGCCTTTAATATAGCAAGAAATGATTGACACGATCTTTCACTTGCTGTTTCATTATTTCAGGATGCATGCTCACCAGTTTCCTAAATAACTTACTGTGATGTACTTTCAGACATTGTACCTCAGTCCTTTTTGAGAAACTAATCTCTGTGTGTCTCATTTGTATTTCTTAAAATGTGAAATACTACTTTATAATTTATACTTCTATATTCATTTAGCAAATGTTAGCTGTGACTTGGATTTTCCAATGGATTCAAGCATTTAAGAGCAGTTCTGAGTTTGCACAGTGATTTGAAATCCTAATTGTAAAGCTTGAATTTTTCTAATTTGAGTCTTAGGTAGTGAGAGACATCTGCAAGTGCAAATGGCTTATATAGTCCCAGCTGATTTCCATGCCTAATTAAATTGCAGTAATACAGATGATTACCCTTTATAGAGTCCTTGTAATGGCAAACATTAAAGCAATACTGACTCTTGAGACAATGATTCCAAATCACTGGATCATCTACATTTTTGATATTTTTTTCAATTTCTATTAATCTTTTTCACTATTTCTCCCCTGAGTAGCCCCTTAAATGGAAGTAGGTTCTACTTATTTTCTCCACCATATTATTTATTTGCCTATTAGATGCTGGAACAAATATTGTCAAACACAACAGACCAATTATTTTATTTCTAATGACTACAATAAGAGAAGGTATTGTATGAGATACAAATATGGAAAGCCTAGAAGACAAAATAGTTATATGACAGCAAACTCAGAGCTAAATTCTGTCACGTCCTGTGCAGATGTATTCTGGGAATTCCATCTTGCCTCATCCATTGTATCCACCCCGGCATAGGCACCAACTCCAGGGTGCTCTGGGGCTGGAGCAAGCATGGAAAAAAATAGTGGGTGCTGGCGGGCCCCGTCGATCAGCTCCTCCCCATTTCCCCCAGCACCTCCCACCCACTGAGGATCAGCTGTTCAGTGGCAGGCTGGAGGCGCTGTGCGGGAGGAGGAGCAGGGGCAGAGTGCGGGTGGGGTACACTCAGGAGAGGGGACAGAACATGGGAAGAGGCAGGGTGGGCAGAGCAGCGGTGGGAAGAGGTGGGGTGGGGGTGGAGCAGGGGCAGGAAGGGTGGGGCGGGGTGGGATCTTGGGGAAGGGATAGAATGGGAGTGGGGCCTGGGGCGGAGCAGGGGTTGACCACTGCCTGAGAAATCAGAAAGTCAATGCCTCTGCACCCAGGATCCCGCCAGGATCCTGACCTAGTACTGTAGCCATCCAGCTGGAAGATATGATCATTGTTCTATCTGCTTTGTGCATTTCTGGTGACTGGCAGAAGGTGTTGGAGGCAAAATAGGCTATTCCTATGTAAAAGGAATAGCAGGGAAAGATGTGGGTTATTCTTTAATATTCTGTTGTTGGATCTGACCTGCCTTAGAACATCATCTCTTGAGTGATACAACTGTTCTCCCTGCTCTATGGGCTTAAGCCACTGAGAATCAGAATTACGGCCAGATAAGTTTGTGTTGTATCAGGAAAAAATATGATTTTGTTTCTCAGCAATCTTATTTGAGTTTTAATCGTTTGGTGGTGGTGGTGGTGGTTGGTTGGTTTTTGCTTTTGTTTTTCTCTCTCTCAACTTAACTCAGTCAAAAAATAGCCTTTACTTTACATCCAACCCCACAAAATAAAAAACAAACAAACCAGCTGAACAATACATTTCCTTCCCTCCCTGACACATCAGTGATCTCATACCTCTCATCCTTTATTATTATTACCATTCATTATTAAAATTACAGCAGGGCTGAAATTGGGGCCCACTGTGCTAAGCAGAGTACAAATACATAGTAAGAGACAATTCCTGCCCTGGAGAGCATCCAGTCTAATTTAAGACAAGAAGCAACAAGTCAACATAACAAAAACTGGAGGAAGGAGGAAAAGGATGATAGGAACATCATTTTTCTTTTAAGTTTTACGATGGGAATATTGTTTGTTTATTTCTGATATTACTAATTTGTACTGACATCTGTAGGTGGTTTACCACAGACATCTTAGCAGAAGTAGGGTCTTGAGAAGGATTTGTAGTAGATCCGGATTGTGACTTTATGATCTGACATGGGGGGAGAGTGTTCCATGCACCAGTTTTGTCATGGATCTAGTTCAGAGGTGCTTGTGGGAGAAGAACACAAATGGGTGAAGAAGAATTGCACTGCTGGTGTGCAAAGGAAGGTGACTCTTAAAAACACAAGGCAGGAGAAGTGGAGTCGTGGAGGAGTCTCAAAAATGAGGACAGGATGCTTGATTGAACTGACATAGAGATTGAAAAAGCCTCTCTCGAGTGGATGTGGTCCCTTCAAAGGCAATGTGGTGGTTTACAAGCTGCTGCTACTGTCTGTACATTATTCTTCATAAAGATAAACAGTGAGCATCCGTTTGCAGTGCTGTCAGTCCACATCTTTCTTGAGCGCCAAATTCCCTTTGTAAAGAAAAAACAAAAAGCCTTCAAAAATGTATGCAAATCATTTTGGAAGCTCTGTGCAGTAAAAATTGCTCATGTTCTGCATTTCCATTCTGTTGATATCTGCCACAATACTGTGATCATGTCATTCAGACTTTCTCAGGCGGCATCCCAGCAAAATTCCTTCCCAGCTCTTGGAATCCTGTCAGAATGAGTCACTAGGTGGTGAGTCTGATGAAGTGGGTATTCACCCACAAAAGCTCATGCTCCAATATGTGTGTTAGTCTATAAGGTGCCACAGGACTCTTTGTCGCTTTTTACAGATCCAGACTAACACGGCTACCCCTCTGATAGGTGGGGAGTCTATCGAATGGGCAGCCTGCCTCTTTTGCTTCATTAATAAATAACAAGGTTGAAAGACACTTAGAGTTTGAGATGCAGAATGCCTGATGACACCATTGATAGTGTCTGTTGATAATGATATTTTCAGTCCAGTGACCAGAATATTACACTCTATATTTTTGGAGTACTTAGTGGCAATATTACTTTACAGGATGCAGGTTAAAGCCCCCAAGCCAGAATTTTTCTCCTCTCTGTTAACACTCGTGGTGCTGATTGATTGCAAGAAATGACATTTTCCTGCTGCTGCTGGTCTGACTCCTGTCCCTTCCTTCCCCCACTTGCCTGCTTCCAACACCTATTGTTGCTAGGTAACAATTAGCAATGCGCATCAGCTATTCCCTAATGTCCCACAACCATTCAGCACTGTGCAGTGTGACGTTTCATTGACCAGCTCTCAGTTGTTTACACCAATGGACGTTGACAATGACCCGATTAGTCATTTTGGCTATCACTGTGCTAGGATCTTGGGGCATGATGAACAATGCCAAAAAGCTTCCTGTTTTCCTGAATCAAATATAAAACTTTATCTGATTCACATATGATTCCTTTCATAGGTGTAGAAGGGATGATACAAATCATAGAATTGTAGGGCTGGAAGGGACCTTAAGAGGTCATCTAATCCGCCCCTCCTACTCCCCTCATCTAACCCCATATCTGAATTACAGGCCAACATTTTTCTATCAACAAATCCAATGGTCAATCTGAATGCATGTAGATTGTAAACTGCCCAGGACAGGGAATATAAATAAATAAATAATAAACAATTATCAACTAGTCATTTTTCTTTGCATTGATTTCAAAATGCACATTACAAACCTGAGGGATATATACAGAAGAATTATATTTCTGTATTATTTCTTCAGATATATGTACTTACATGGTATTACAGATCTAAAATGGTACTTCAAGAATGACAGGAAATACTATCACCTTGAGAAACTCCCTCATCTAACCAGGCACTGAGCTTGAATGCCAATATATGTTCTTT